CAGGACACATGTAGCAAAAGGCAATCTCAAATGATGAAGACAGCAATTTTCAATAATAGTCAATATTTCCACACTTCTTGCAGAGGTGTGCTCCTGAGAAATCAAACAAAAAGTCCTGGCCTCCTGGAAAAGCAAGGACAGAAATTATGGACACTACCAGGTAGGAACTGAAACAACTGATAGATTTCCAGACTCAGGAAACTGTACATGCTACGAGCTGATGCCGTTGCTTGTTAAAACCTACAGCCCACTTAGATTTAGACAGCTGACACATGAGAGAAATGGAGTGCTTGCCCTTCAAACTGTGATAGAAACTCCCAAAAATGAAGATTATTTGTACAATACTAGCTTCTTCCATTCTGTGCACATTCTGATACTTGCTATAGGATACCAGTTTTTTTTTCTTGGGTAACTACAGTTTCTTTCAGCAGCCAGGATAAGCAGTTAGTTTCTATTTTATTCTATACTGATCGAATACTGAGACTTTTATCTGTAGATGAAAATTATCTGCAGTAAACTAGACTCTGGAAATCTTTACTTGACACTCAACTAGACAGAAACTACCAAGTACTGGCCAAAACCTGTCCCATCTCCCAAGAAACTCTTTGTTAACTGCAAGGCTGAAATCTGCTTTAAGGTAACACCCAGCTGTCCAACCCACAAGGCAATTCCTTCTCCTGACATCTCCTGCCTCACTGTTTCATTCAAAAAGAGGGACTCAGGACCAGCAATGCAAAGCAGTTCCAGAGCTGTATGATAGCTCTGTCCTGCCACAAAATGGTAGTAAATCAAATGTGTGCACTTTCAAAAATATCCCAATGTCAACTTGCTTGGAGGGGAATACACCAGGCAGTGTGACTGAAGGCAGGGGTGAGTACATGAGCACTCCATGTGCCAGACACTAAGTTATATGCACTAAGTTACACATTATCCTGTTACATGCAGGATAAAGCATTTCAGTAATTATGTTTTCCAGTTTATTGTCAGCAATTTTCCCATTGACACTGAGGATCTTATTGCTTCTTTTCACTACATGATATTCTGTGTTTATTGACAGTGAGTCTCAGCTAACATCTGATTGCTCAACTGTTCAACACACCAAATCCAATATGCAATAGCATCAAATAAAAGCAGCAATTGTAAGCTATTTATATACTTTACAGTCATTTATTTATATACTGAACAAACAGCTTTACTTATTCCTACCTTTCCTTTCATGTCTTTAAGTGAGCTGCTAACCAGTCAACAAAATTTCCCTGACTCTTCCACAGAAGTTTTGAGATTGCCTTTATCAGATGATCCCATCACAGTAGCTGAATTAAATTTCTAAGTGATGGATGGTGCTAGCCTTTTACTCTGGATGACAGTTCACACACACAAAGAAAAGAATGAATTTGAAAAATTACAGGGATTTCTATGCTACTAATATGAGCACTGTGGCCAAATTTACAGAACAGAGCTTGAAGAAAAATTACCAGGCATAGAAAAATAAAAGAAACCCACATAAAACCAAAATTAAACTAGTCCTGTCCTCCAAGGGTTAAAACATAATTTCCAAGAAAGCATAAAAAGAACTAAAAATATCCTAATGGACTCACAAAGTTTGGTGACTAAAATGCATTATTTTCCTTGCCTCTCCCAGCTTGACTTGAAAGGACTGGAACTTTTACTCATGCTCTGCATATAGGAATGATGGGGTATGTTAGTTCAAAAACACGGCCTCTGCAGAGAGCATATTCATGGTTGTGTCCTCCCCACCTTCCAGAGATGCCCAGGGAGATACCTAATGACATCAGGCAGCCAGAACTCCTCCAACCAGTGCCAAGAAGAGGATGAAATGACTACACAGAAAAGGGAAAAATATGTATCAACTGAAAAAATCCAAAAGCATCAGATTATCTAATGTATTCCAGACTAGCAGGATCATCTGTAAGGCCATACCCAAAGATCCCACACCTCTATATGACAGAATGGAAGAGCTTCTCTTCCACATGCCACATACAAATACACATTTCTCCAACTCAAAGAAAGGGCAAATCTGAAAAAGGTCTTCTCAGTCCATGAACTCAAGTAAGACAGAACTTAAAATCTCCCTAATTTTCTTGGGACAAGAAGCAATAATGATGTAATGCCTCTAAACTCAAACCAAAGAACATTTTATTTCACTTAAGAATTAGAATGACATTGTTTTAGCACAATTTAGCAACGAGAGATGTCCACATTTAACCTAGAATTTTCCACAATGCTCACTTCTCAGATTCCTGAGCTTTGAATCCTATGGAAAGAGGCTGTGTATCCTTAAGTGCCCAAGATCTATTGCAATACAAAATAAACACGGCTCTTGATGCAAATAAACACAATCAAAACCACCATCTCAGGCTTCCACAAAGCTCAGACAGAACTGAAGTTATATCATTCTAAGCAATCTTTATAGAACATAAGAATAATGCTAAACTCTGTATCTCCCAGAGCAATGTGCTCAGACTGTACCACACTGGCAAAGGTTGAGACACAGATATATGAAGACAAAGTACAATAATACAAAAACAAATAAATGCTTCTATCAAGTTAGTGTTCAGAAATGTTCAAATTTTAAGAAATTACAGGTCATATATGCTCATTTCCAACAGAAAAGGCAATGAAGTGCAATAAAACTTCTCTCAGTCTGTTTGAAAATCAAGCTCACTAATCAAACAGAAATGAAAAAACCTAAAATATTGCCTCCAACCAAACCTGCCCTTCTGCTCCTGTGAGATTTCTCTCCCATAACACCAAGTTGGTTGAAAACAGGTATCAAAGATCCATTCTGATTATATTCAAATTACTATTATTCATCTTCCCATAAATTCACCTATTGGGCTTTTTCTCCTTTCTGGTGAGCTCCTCAAAAACAATAAACATGGTTTAGTTTTCTAAAGATGTTTTTGCAGCTAATAAAACAGCACAAGGTTGCCTTGAACTAATCATCAGATAACATATTAATATTAAATATTTAATTTTCTCTTATATTTAGCTGAAAATCAAGATAACACATTAAAAGATATTCAACAAAATCACCTTTTATCAGTAGGCAGGGATGCCCATTATTTTAATAAATCCACTGATTAAGACATTTTTTCACTGGAGATAAGTGAAGACCTGCTGGGTGTCACAAGGGTCATTGTCTTTTTTTCTGTCACTGAATGCATCTGCATGTTACTGAATTGGTTAAGAGGGTGTGACACCAGACAATGCAAACACAGAGGAAAGCAAACTTAGTATACTGTGACTGCGGAAACTGTTTATTTACTTGCTTGTATGAGTTTGTGCTTTCATAATTAGACTGGCAAATGCAATTCTACAACAAAAAATTGTAATTTCTGCTGCTACTTTATCCAAGTAGATGTGAAACGCTCCCAAATGTTGGGAGTGTTTCATAAACATAAATTCAGGCTAGAGACAAGAGAAAAGGGATGATATATCAAAACAAAACTTACATGGCAGAATTAAAAAGTTCAAGTACTTTTTTAAGTACTTCAAGAAAAGCAGGTGACAGGAAAGTTAAGGCAGGACCCTTAACTAAAGGGAGCACATTTTGCTCCCTTCAGCTGCTGAGGGAGGGAGCAGCTGTGAATGAGCCTCATGTGCCAGAGTGACTGAGGAGCATCTCCCAGAGAAGCAGGCAGAGCACCAGCAGTGAGCAGAGCTTTCACTAAGAGATGACAGCTCTGCTATTTCCTCATTATGTCATCTCTTCCCCACCCTCCCTCTTTCTGGACCACGACTGGCTTTCACGTGGTTCACAAAGCCTGCCTGCTCTCAGGGCCTGGAGATCTTAATCAAATATAAGTCATACACCAACACCTCTGCAGCTACTGCAAACACTACCCAAGTGGTATTCAGCAAACAGGCTGAAGCAAAGATGGTATTTTGCTAAAAAGCAGCTGACAATTTCACTTGAAAATTATATAACCTAAAATACACCATCTTTAAAAGTTTGAACAAGTAAGAGAAACAAAGCAGCTCAGAGGAAACACCTCAGTGAGAAAAGCAAACAATCCAGACTTTTCCAGGACCTTAAAAGGTATTTCTCAGAAACCTGGACTTCTACCAGTGTAGTGGCCTTGAAACTTACCTTGGAAAACCATCTTTTACAACAGCCTCTGACTTGTGGATGTGAAATAAATCTGAAACTCACACCTCATTCTAACTGCTAGAGGATGAAAGCAGCTTTTGAGCAATCACTTAATACAGGTAATTTATCATAATACACCTTGGAATGTTACCTTAATAAAGACATGGTGAAGCACACTCAAACGTATTATGGTTGTGACACAATCTGAATGTTCTTTCTTCAGACTTCTAAGCATGAGAACATATGGAGCATTTGTCTGATGAGATTTAGAGATTTATCTGAATAGCAGACATTACTTGTAAGAACAAATACTGGCTGAGTCAAGGAGCATGTATAGGGAGTGTTTAATCTTTAGTGTGCCAGCTTAAAACTACAAAAGTCAATTGAAAACAAGCATCCATGGGATGCTTAGTTCAGAGAGCCTGCAAAATGAGTTGGTATAGTCCAGTTCTTTCAGAAACTGCTGCTGTATTTTATGTCAGTGCTGGGGAAAGAGCAAAACATGATAGAAACAAAGGTACACAAAAACTAGGAGAAGGTTAAGGCAATAAAAGTATTAAAAAGTGTCACAAAGTATTATAGAAGTATTATAAAAGTAATCTTTGACAAAAAAATACTGTTAATCATTACAAGCCAATAGAGTGATACTGTAACTCCCTTGTCTGTGGGTGACTGTAGAAAAAGGAAAACATCCTTTTTCCAAGTCTGACCACATCCTGCATTATCTTCACGACAAACACCTTTTTTCCTATCAGCTGAAATATGTGCAACAGATGAGCACTTTTGTACTAAATGCTGCATTTGACACTATGAAAAATAATAATTTCTCTTAATCTCTGTGACTGTGACCTTCAGTCAAACACTGAAGACATGGGAGAGCTCATACCTGAGGCCGCATCCTGGGGTTCCACCTGATGTAGTAATTCACCCACAGCTCCAAATGGTTCAGACTGGCAACAGGATACAGGACATGGTTTTCATAGTTTACATAGAAGGGATTTGTGAATTCCTCTAACTGGCTGTTTATATAGGACCACAGAGATACAGTCTTTGTGCTCACCTCCTGATTGAAAAAAAGTTAAAATAAAAAATTAATTATGTGGATTGCAAAATTTTAAAAGATTATGTTAATAGCTACATATTACTAATTCTGTCAGAATTTTACCTTATCTACTAGAAAATTACATGCAGTCTGAGAACACTTCCAGTGGCTGATCACTGAACAGCCTTAAAACTTTAGCAAAATATCTGAACACTTATTTTGGTCCAAGACCAATAGAAAAAGGAAATTTAGACATATTATTTTCAGAGACACTAAAGTCTAGTTGAGCAAAAGGAACAAAAGCAACCTACTGCTCATAATTTACAGCAATATATACAGCTACTTAAATAGATGGTTACACACTGACCAACTAAACTAAAAAGATTAGCTTTAACAAGAGTATCAGTGAAGAGATTTTGAAGAATATCAGTGAAGGGAGTGTGGAAGATTCAAAACAGTGTCTGAAAAATAAGTTTTCAATCTTCCCACCCATACTATTTGCTCCTAAAAAATCATTGATATTACGCTTTAAGCTGATTACTTGTACTTCCATTTTATACTTCTGAAAGTTGTATTATTCTAAATTTATTCAGCATAATACTGGTCAGATCAAAGATTGGAAATCTGAACTTACATCAGATTAATCTTGCAAATTTAAACTCCTTCAGTGCTGTAAAGCATGCGTTTCTACTACCGCTGTGTCTTAAATTTCATTTCTCTATTGAGAATTGCATCTGACTATTTATTTATGAAAGAAAGCTGTCTGGAAACCCTGCATTTGCTGAGAACATGTTATTCAGCTCCATCTTGTGGTATTTACATGCAACTTTTCCCCTACAGAAGCAGTGGAGACAGATTAAAAAAAAAAAGAAAAAAAAAAGCAGAACTAAATATAACAAAGAATTGTAACTTGCTCAAAAAAATGACAGTAAAAACAACAAAGCCACAAGTAAGCAAAAGTGCACTTGGAATAGCAATGAACTTCTATTTTTTCTTCACAAACACATAATATATTTTTGAATCCTAACTTCATTCATTTAGATAATTTTAATTTCTGTACTCCTCAACCACAAGTTCCATCCACTTACATCCTATAGTAACCTGCCATGTCATCCATAGGAGTTCTTATGGAAATAGTGAAAGAAATGCTAATATAATTTGATAGTTACTATTACTTAAAATTTTGTATTTTGGCTAAGAATACCTGCAAGAGGACTTACTAAAACCCTCAATGTCTCCAAACAGATGATAACTAAAGAAACCTAAGTGCCACCTCACTTAATAGCAGGGCATTCAGTATATATTTCCACACCATGAAATTTAATGTCTGCACTGTATTTTAAGACTATGTGACAAATGTATTTAAAAACAGCTCAGACATTCTTAGATCATTTTCTAAGCATTTTAATATAAAAATCAGAAAACCAAGAATGTGCAGTATACTAATTACTTACCTCTTTTAATCTTTCTTTTTCACAGTTGCATAAGAAAGTCCCGAAGAGACAACTATAAAGGTGATCCAGAATGGTGATCAAAAATAGCTCATTGAATTCAAAGGCTGCAGGAAACTGATATTAAAAAAAAAGGGTAAAATTACTTTAAGTGTTGTTTTAAGCAGTGTGGAAAGGAATAAAGTCAGACATAAAAAGTAACCAAATAATTCAGGTAAGATTTTTGTCCTATTTAGGGATTATTTGCGGGAAAACTCAGCAAATTTCAGTAACTCCCACTTCAATAATTAATTTCACCTACATACTTCTCTACAAATACTTCTCAGCTATATTTACATTCATTATCCAAGTACACCAGAATACAAACATTAGCTGATGTGAAACTGGTGATATAAAGCAATCCATTTTAAGAAGCTCTAACAGTGTTCTGTTCTACCCCAAGCCCTCTTAAACATCTGCTTTCTATCTCTTATGACAGAACCAGAAAACATTTTGAGGAATAAAAAAAAGAAAAAAAGTAAGATAATGGCATTTAAGAGTTTTATTTCCTATTTCAAACATGCAATATATGAATAATAAAAGACCACTACACATACATTGTAGTTAACATTTAATTAAAAACTTTTTTTTCACTTTCTACTCAAGTAAGTTACTTTTCTCTATTTCACCCTGAGTTTACCATCAGCTATATACAATAAGCTTTTAATCCCTCTACTTCTGCATGGGAAAGTAAATCCTGTACATCTGAAATGAAAGAACTCTTACTCCCCTGAGCACCATTAGGTATTTTACTCACTAGCAGAGGTTACCTGATATATTCTAAGACAAACAGTCATAAATCTGAAAATGTTTCTCCTAATCTGTAGAGCTCTAAAAATTCATAAAGGAAGAAATTACTGCAAAATGCATAGGCTGCTGCTCATTCAGATGGAGAAAGTCCTTCTTCAACCAAATTTTATGGTAAGACTACATGTGGCAACTGCTTGATGTGCCAAAACCATGTTGTGTCCAGCATGACAAGTGTAACACAGACATGGAATGATAGCCATTTAGAATAACAACAAATTGAGAAGACTTAAGGAAATCTTAAGTAGCATTTCTCTCATTAACAATAAAGAGAATAATGTTCAGGACAAACAAACCAAACTTTGCACATTCCCTCTAAAAGAGTACATCTTCACAGAAGTCTAAAAGGCAAAGTTTTAGATTCATAAGGCAGAATTTCCTGCTATATGGAGAAATCTTAAGTCAATATTTCAGATGTGCAGAAAGCAGGGGACTGGTTTCTGTTTTGTGTCACTAAAAAACCACTGAATACCTTGGCAAGTGACTCAAGAGCTACTTAAAATAAAGATGACTCCTGTAGTTAGGAGGAATAACAGCAATTGGGACTGCAGGTGAACTAGCTGATCCAGAAATTCCTCTTCAGTGTCAGCTGTGATTTATGAAGGGCAAATATTTATTCATGTTGAAAGTAGAGTTGAATAACATAGAATGGGTGTGCTTGTATTAAACCCAGAAAGATCTACGTTTTAAACAGTATTTTATAAAAAAGAAGACTGATCTAAGACAAACATTGAAAAGCATCCTCTTTCCAAAATTTCTCAAGCTAATCCATACCACCGTTTGACTGAAAATTTTGAGTAAGGAGATTATCATGACACAGAAAATGAATGGGAGCGTTCTTATGACTCTGTTCACCAGCACAGTGTGCTCACAATGGGGCTTCTCTTGCAAATCATGGGTTGTTTTCAACCTACTCACCATTTGTTTTCATAATGCATAGAGGAAACTAAGATTATCAAAATCTCTTTTTCAGTCATGTTCATAAATTAACTACTTTTAAACTTCCTTCTCTCTAGGAAATCATGCCAAAATTTAATTACAAAACAATGATGTTAAAAACACAGCTATTACTTTAAGGAAGTATGAACAACATTTGACAAGCAGGTGTGCTGAACCAAGTCAGGAGAAAATTCACTGGGTCTCAGAACTCACCCTGCTGTGTCCAGCTCAAAGCAGCAATCAGATACAGAGAGCAAAAATAATTTGCAAAGCATCAAAATGATATTTGGAAAAAACTTTGAAGACAAAGTGTCTCCTAAAGAGACTCTCTTTAGCTGAAAACATTTAATGAGCCTTGTCACATCAGGGTTCTGTGTTGTGACAGGTCCATACTAATCAGAAGGATGCCGACATGGCCACTATTCCAACCCAGTGAAGCATATTCAAAATTCCATACATCAGTGGTTGCTCTCCAACTAGTTTATTAATAAGTGATAGCACTTTATTGAAACCCAGTCTTTGGATACAAGAGTTGTACTGTTGGAGCTGATGTATCAAGACTGTAGAGCTTCTATTACTGCTGCTGAAAAATCACTGACCTAAAAATGTCTTTCTCTGTAGTTCCAAGCCTATTAGCGTCTGCTTGAAGATTCAGGTGGAAAAATTCCCCAAATGGAAATTTACTTCTTCTCAAATCCACTAATTATGAGAAAACACATGGGTCATTAAAGTTTCCCACTTGTTGCTGCATGAGTTGTTAAGGGTTTTTGTAAAGTGGCATTTAAAAAAAAGAAATTATCTTGTTTGAGTCTGATGATGACAAGTGGCATTTGATTCAGAGACATGCAAAATACATTTGTTTTTTAATCAATGAACTCGTTCTGTGCTACAGTAACATTGAAACACTTGGCAGAACAACTGTGCAATGGACAATAATAGTTAAGTGAACACTAGACAGAGGAACAGTGCACTGCTGAATCCAGTGAAAAATGCATCTGCAGCAACAGCTGACACCCAGTAATGAACAGGATGAAACTTTCTGCTGACTTTCTGCAGACCTTCCTTCTGTGAGGGTTCAGTGCATGAAAGGTAGGAAGTTAAACTGCAATGCTCCATGCAAATTTTACAGTTCTGTTTCATTTTTAACCGGGCATCAGTATTTCATCAGCTCACATGAGACCTTTCCAATTTGACATCTGCTACTCAGTATCACCAGAATTTACTAACAGAGGAGGGAAATCACTTCACCATGACGTTTTTTATTAAAATCTGATGTCCGTGTACTTCTCTCAAGTTCTCCATTATTTTATTTGTGTGTCATGAAGACCATAAACCCAAGGGAAAATATAAGACTGTCAAGGCCTAAATTTCATTGTCTGAAGCTATCTGGAAATTTGTATCTTAGTGGGAAGTTAGAGATTCACTGTTTTAAGGTGACTATTTTAAGAATGTAACTCTTAGACCCCATAAGAGTCTATTTGCTTGCTTTAGCCCATGCCCAAACCAGAGCCCTTACACCCTCCTCCAGTCACTGAGCTTTGGAACATTTCACATATGTTTACCATGAATTATAAAGCAGAACACTATCACTGTTTTATGAGCAAATAATCTACACAGTGATAAAACAGAATCCTGTTTTTCAAAGGTGTGTGTCAAGGTAATCACAGTCTTCACATCTATTCTCTAAGTGTTCAAGTCAACTGAAAAATTAAAATAAGTGGGCAAGAACTGTTCAGGAATAAGTTTTTCTATTTCTTCTCCAGTGCAACATTAACGATTTTTCAATGTTACTGCTGTTCATGAATTTCAGAATAATTTCTGGATCCAGGTTTTGAACAGATGTGGTATTGGCAAACTGTTTCACAGATTTCCCCTCTGCCCCCATCCCTTTCTCTTTTTTAAACTAGAGGCAACTAAACTGTTTATAGCAAGAAATAGGAAGCAGCAAGGGAGATCACAAAAACAGAAGAGGCTGCTCTCAATTAAGGATCTCCCCAGAGGACTTTTGTTCCTACCAGGTGTTTAGAACTGCTCCTCTTTGCTATTGTTATTAGCTTTCCTCTGAAAGAGGGAAAGAATTTTTCATTTATTTTCTCCAGCCACACTAAACAGTACATTAATGCTGAAATATAGATACACAGAAACTCTACAAGACCCCCTGGACAAGGGCCCAGTATAACAGCAGGGAACTTTCAGAAAGCACCAAGATGACTGTTTTGAATACAAGTTTTGGAAACTATGATATAAGTTTTAAGAACCTCTGAACAAGAAGACTGAGGTAAGAGATCTAGGAGTGCTGGGATCATATGGAACCAGACTGCAATAATCCTCCCTTCAAAACAAATCACATACTATAGAGATTTCAGTATAACTCTCTACTACCCTCAGTTCACAATCAGACCAGATTTTTGCTGTTTCTTAAGGAACAATATAAATCCATACAAACATTTACTCCACCAGTGAACATGCAACACAAATAATTTATTTCATCAACAACTCTTATTTATGCAAACCCCTTGTAAGCCTATTTTAAAGAGAAAAGAATTGCTGGTATTTTGGTTTCAAGACAAAATTTCTGCTCTAGCTCCTTGTAACTCACTTTCAACAGAAATTTCCCTCTGTGTGCACAGTGCAGCCACAGAGCAACCAACATCAGTTAAACTACTCTGTAAAGGAATGTATTCTACACAAATCACTTTCCAAGATAAAAGACTGATACCTCATAAAATACACTCTTCAGCATCTTACCTGCTTTGTCATTTGCCAAACACAGTCAATGAACTGCAGGAAGATGGGAGATCTGTCAGCATCTGCATGATCATCATCTCCATGACCCACTCGCTGCAAGTCAGAGCACAAAACACTGATTTCAGTCTCCATCCCAACATTGCAAAGCTCAGGAACTCTTACATATTTTCCAGCAGTGAACAAGGCAAGCAAGTCTTCCATAATGTTAACCTGCATTTTTCACTACTAAAAATGCATCCCAATATTAACTTACAGACATGCCTTCAGTGTTGAGCAGAGCTGGAAAGCTCTACCAGTTGCTTTCCCACCTTCTACTGCACAGCCACTGTCTACCAGAGAGTGAAACTGGTAGGAATTTATTAAGACTGAACTGAAAATATGGTTATTTCATATCCACCTGTCATAACTACATGCCATTTCTACTAAATCATCTTAAGAGTCAGAGCCCACAGAATGTCATAACAATTTATTCTAATTCCCCACTAGCCCATGTGTTAAATAAACACTTCAACCTTAAATCAGAGTAATAACTCCAGCCATTTTACACTTTAGAAACCTGAATTGTTTTCCTTGGTTCTCCATTCATAAGCTCCATAACATAAGTTACAACCACTCTTTCTCATAAAAAAGCCACATGACTTTTTCTCACCATTGCATTCAAACCACTTCATTTTTATTTACTTTATATTATATGTCACATAGAGGTTTCTTGTTAAAAATAAATGGGTCACAGTTCTCTGACACACTTAGACCATTAAAAGGACACCAGAGACAATAACTAAGATGCAGCAGAGTACTGTGAAAAAACATGATATTCAAAGCAAAAGCTCTGAAGGTGACAAACTGCACACCAAATTTTCCAGCTTACCATTGCAAAGCGATGTCCAAAACTTATCCATTCTTTCTCTACAAGAACTTCAAAGCCCTTGATGGTTCTGTAATAGCTGTCCAGCATAAGCATGGCCAGTGCAGTGAGCTGTGCAGTTCGATCCCAGCCATCACTGCAGTGCACCACTACAGAGGTTTTACCAGATTCAATTTTATCCGCAATTCTTACTGCTCCAGCAAGAAGCATCTTAAACAAAAATGAAGAAACAAGCATATTAAATACTACCAAAACTCTACAAAAAAAAAAAAAAGGTTATGATTTTATATTCTTTATGTCATTATGTTGTAAAATTTCAGATTAATTACATAATCATCCTGATGACAATGCTTTAAATTAAAGATTTCCAAAGAGTGGTGTACATGTTCCTAGAGGTACAAAGACTGTGTGCACTCTCTTGTCCAGAGATCTTACCAGCTCTCCATTACTAGCAGTACATAACAAATGAACCTGTGAATCTTTACTCTGTATTAATTGATATTCTGTATTATGATGGCAAGACACAAATACTGTAATCTATTCCAAAGGCTGAAGTTTCGAGGTTTTCAAAAGTTCATTTCACATTAATCAATCACTCTTTCTTGCTCCATTTTCAAGTTCAACTGAAACTACTGAGTTTAGAGAAAGGGACAAATCATCCAGCTAGTCTGTACCAAAATACAACCCAAACACAGCCAGAAAGCCCTGGCTGGGAGCCAGTTCTGATTTGTTGCTGCATGAAGTGTACAGTGTATTCAGCTTCTGAGCTGACCACCAACAGCCTGGATTCCAGAGCAATGCAGGAGAGCACAGGACAGAGATGGCACAGGACTGAGGTCACCTGTGTGAATTTGATACTCTTCTCCCCATTTAAAACCCCACCTCTTTTGTTCCCTGTTGCCACCCTCTGATTTTCAAAAAAACTTAAATAATCTGCCTCCCATGAAGACTTGTCTCTAACATAACCTACTCATGGCACTGAAAAATATGTGGGAAAAAAACCCTACCACTAGAAATGGGACCACCGCATTCCTATTCTGCATTCCAATATCAGAAAATGGAATCTTGCAAAATATTTGCACTTTTCCCTTCCCAGGCATGCAAAAACATCTTCTGGGAAGTAGGAAAGCCAGCATTTGCTGGAAAAGCTGTGCACAAGACCAGTCTTCAAACCTATTTCAAGAACCCTGTTTTAGAGACAGTTTCCATTGATTCTCACTTTCATTGAGTATATCTTTTATGGTAGAACTGAAAGATCCCAGAGGGGAAATATCAAGCAACAATAAAGAAGTGTCTATGAGAGAACAGAATTTGTGGTATGAACTAGTTAACTGCCAATCATTTCAGTTAGAAAGCTCTACTGCATTAATATTAAAACAGTTTGGTCTTCAATAAAAGCAGAAAATGAATCTATTTAACATACAGGTATGCACTAGCTTGCTTTAAAGAGAATACAGATGCCTCTGAAGGAAAACAGCTGGAAATAAACAACAGAATATGTACAGGAAATGACCAGGGAATAGGAGACAGAAAACACATTTACTATTAATTCAGCAGATATCTGTGGAGTATGTGAAGGACTTTATTCCACTTTGGATAACAGCCTTTAGAAAACAGTTTCCTCTAGAAATTTATTATTCTTTACAGATTTTTCAAAACTTGGTAACCATCACAGTATTTCAGTTAGGGCTCCTAACAAATAACTGCCTTTGGACTGGTTTACAAAATGAGAATTGAAAAATAGTTAATAGCACAAGTTCTACCCTCAGACAGAAAATACTCTGGGTTTGCAATAAGCAACAAGTGTCTCTACTCATGTTGTTATCACTGTCTTCACACACAGAGAGTTACTGGTGCCTTCACTCCCAGACCATCTCTGAAGCACTGTGGGTGCCAGGGCTGGAAGGTGAGTTCCCAGCAATGCACTGCATTCAACTGGGACAGGTCCACACTGGTTTGAACACAGAAAACAACAGAAGTGTTCAGAGTCAAGCTGTGGATTGTTAGTGCTACTGCAAGCCAAATCAAAAGGCAAAGAACTCTTGGAAGAAATCTCAGAGAGATACTTTGAACACTGTTAACACAATAATGGCAGCCTTTAAGAAATCAGCCTGCAGTTTCTGCTGTCCATAAAAGAGAAGTAGTATGTAAGGGACAGATCCATGAAGAATGTCACACGTGCACCAACTCTTCAAAATAATGTAAATGAAATTTCCAGTTGCTATGATATTGTCACCTATTCGACAGTGGCATCCAAGTTCACTCCTGACACTGCCTAATCCAGGAACCCCACCAGAGTCAGTGGCAATGAGAGGTGACACAAACACCAAAAAACCGACTGTATAAGGCCAGGCTGATAAGAAAAGCTTTTGAGATGCTTAGATTCCCAAAGCTGTTTCAAATAGCTCAAATTCAAGCTAACAAGAAAATTAAACTGTTCAAAGAATATCATTAAATTTGGCTTTTAATTTCATGTTTGCTCCCTCTACTGGCTCTGCTGCAGTTGTCAGCAAGCACTGCTTAACAAAGTGTCAAACTAATGAATGATCCCAAACATGTTTTGCATGAGTGACAACTGAGCCAGCTGCTAATCAAACAAATTACACTCCATCCATATTATTCATAAACAGGGGATTGAATATGGTAATGAAATAATCCACTCTACAATAATTTCAAAGGTTAGTGAAACTGACTGTAAAACTGAGTGCAGTAGTGATTTATTCTAATATTATGTCAAACAATAGGGCAGATGATAGCCTGATAGATCACTGGTTACCAACAGCTCATGAAAATGTAGGTGCCCATCACAAGAACTGTAACATTGCACTGAAGGAGGGAAGGATGGGAAAGACTGTGGAATTCACAGTCAAGTTCTTTTGGCAGTGGCTCAAATATACTCTGAAGTTCCCAGTGCATTCTTCCAAACAAGAGGGATAACGCTGGAAGTTCACAAACATTCCTTCTCAAGAAAAAAAACACTGCAGTAAATATGATACTGTATTATCGTGAATTAACTCACCATCTGCCAGTACATAAAACTAGAAAAAATAAGTTACTATAGATTGCTTAAAATGTTGCATTCTAAGTGATTATTTAAAACTGTTACTTTTTCACAAGATTATTCTGATTAAAGCAAAAGCTTGAGTTTTAGCATTATTTTAGCAATATTTTCAGAAGTGCAAGTTAAGAACATGATTTAAAAAGTAATTGATTTTCCACATCAAAAACATTTTACCCTTATATATTCCAGCCAGTGTGTGGAGTCCACGTTTGAGAGCCACCGAGTCTCATCAATAGTAGGATAAACAATTTCTTTCAGTTTCCGCAGGGATTCTCTCATGACATGGATATTATGAATCTCCAGAAAGACCAGCTCTGCATTTGGGTAGGCACTTTCACTTTCATATCCTCCACCTTTAGCCTGTCATTCAAAAGTTAAAAACAGACAATGAGAAGGACATGTACAAGACTTCAGTACAAGGTGGAGAGAGATATTTTACTCAAGTTTCAGCATTTTCTCAAAGAAGTGATTATTTTAGTGCTGACAAAAACTTATTTTTTGCTTCTGTTTTTCAAAAAAATCTGGAGGTATTTTAGGTGAAAGAAATTCTAATTGTAACAGGCTACATTTGATATTACATCCATCTATCTTCCCCTTTTTATTAATGAAAGTTTTGGTCTTCTGTGAGCTTCACTGCATATATCTTCATGATGCCTTTGATTCCTGCCAGCCTTTCCAAAATGCTACAAGCAACTTACCTTCCTTCTCCTGTCCTCCTTAGGCACCCTTTCATATCTCTTTCCAACATCAGATTCTCCACATTCTGATATCTGCCTCAAGCTTCAGCCTTGTAATAAGGCTGATGAACTAATGCCAGTTATGATACAAACCTACCTTGTTTGTATCTGCAACACTATTCTGCCTGGCATCAAAGATGATAAGTTTATGTGACTGAGCATTGGCATCCATAATTGTCTGCAAATATTTTTCATCTTCCTTGCAACGCTTATCATTTGGGCCAACTGATGGCTGGCTGCACCGTGTTATTGTTGCTTGGCTCTCAGGATGAATCCAGGATAACACCTGGAATAAGAGAAAACTGTTTAATTTACCACATTACTATAAAAGCAGCAGGCCAGAGAACAACCAGACAATCACATTGCCTATCTGGCATTATTTCCTGCCAAATCAACAAATGAAAGTCTAAGAACAGGCTGATGCAAAAGCGTATTGACAGCACACTAGCACTGACTGCTCATCCCAAATCTCAGCCTGAAATACAGAGTGATTCTAAACATATTAACTTTTATTTCCAACAGCAACTAAGCCTGTATTATTCTTACTGGAAAAAAAAAATGGCAATGGAGGAATAAAAGCTGCTTCCATGTGGAAAACTATGGACCTACACACTACCTTGCTAAGCATGAAAACCAACACAATCTAAAATATTTAAAGGGGTTCTAATGCTACCTTGTCTATTCTCAAGCAAAGCACTAAGGCTATGACACACTCTACTCCAAATAAGAACACAAGCTAATGCATGCCAGAGCATCACGTACCACTGTGGCCTAGGAGTGCTAATCCAAACAAAAAACTTACTACATAGCACAATAATTGTGCAATTAAACTCATACTTGAGTTGCTCCCTTCAGTTCTAAACCCACTGAGTCTAGTTCCTCTTTCTTTGCCTCCCACCCCAACTCAGTAAGGAAGCCATCCCACTGTTGTTTAAAAAAAACCCTAAAAGAACACTAATAATTTCTTAAAAGCTACAAATTTCTAAAACACTTCTCTTGTACAAATTTCACTTACAGGAACTCTCCCTTTTGCTCTAAATGCTGCCACTTTTGAAAGGTCATCATCCTTTACACTGGTTGGCACAACAAGAACAGCAGGATATGTATCACAGAGCTCGTAGCTGCTGTTAATTTTGGATATCTTCCAACTCTCATTGGGCAATCCCTGTATGGAAACAAAATAATTTTGCATTTTTCAGGTCAGACCTTTACATATCTGAGTTTGGGGCAATGAAAAATTTTATGTGCTGCATACTTTTAAAAAAAAAGACATGCCCACTTTTTTTTAAATAAGCTATAAACTTAGGTCTTCGTACTGAATCATAATCCAACGGAAGTCTTTCCTACTAAACTGATAAGGAAAATAACCATAGGAAAAATGTAGATTTAAAATTACCAACTACAGTTACTCTTCTCTTTAGTGATGCTTATTCAAATGAATTTTTTTATAAAGCCCATGTTTTGTAGAAACAGCACTTGAAAAATGTGGATTTCAGAACCATGTTAAGTTAGACCAATTTGCTCAAGTACTCAGCACCTGTATCTACACCAACTTTAGCAACACACTTAAACACAGGCCACTTACATTTTATTATCTAAACACGAGATGCAGACAGTCAGTCTATGTAGCAAGAGCTTAAAATAATGAGTTTTCTGTAACATTTGTGACATTTTTTCCTTGTTTAAATGGCTCTGGGGGAGATGGAGAAAAAAGTTCACCAAGTATTCTATAACCTACCTGCCTCTTATATTCTGCCATTGGATCATACACTTTCCAGCCATTAACAGCAAACTTTTCCTTATAGCTGAATGCAAAAAGAGGCTAAAAACAACAAAACAAAGTTGTAAATCACTGCCTAACAAGTTGTAAGCACAATAACTCCAAAACAGTCAATACTTCAGTATTTCAAATCTAAAGCAGACACAACACCTTCAGTCAAGACTGGAAAACACTGAGCTAGAAAGAAGATAGTTTTTTCCACTAAGTATGAGTTCCATTAAGTATGAGTATGAGTTTACAGTTAAAAAAACCAAGATAGGAGACAGATAATTGAAGTTACTTGCCTCTGATCATATAATACATCAATGTCAATGCCAAGATGAGAAAATTGGTCTCCTACCTCTCAACCAGTTCCTTACGCACACAAGCAAATGAAATGAATTCTGCAATAACTAATAACAACACTAATTGTACCTCTTTGTTGCATTAGATGGAATTTCTAGATTTAATTATCTACTGCAGAAAATAATGACAATACATACATATTTTTTATCAGCAACATTAGGCAAACCTAGATCTCAAGGATTACATATAAATTAACTCCACCAATAGCAGGACACAGCAGTGTTTGATGAATTAATGCAAAAAGCACACAGGGTCAGAGTGGCCTGCCTGCTCTGCAACAGATTTTATGAATCAACAGTTCAAAGTTTGTTAAGCCCTTGTATTTCCTCCCCTACATGTTCCCAAAAGAGGAGAGCCAGTGACAGCCCCTTCTCCATCTCAAGACTTACCAGCCCATTAGAAACAGGAAATGCACGCGTTACAAGGTTTTCAAAGATCTCCAGTCTGTTCTGCTCTTCCTGTTTATAGGCCAGCCGCAAATTTCTCATATCCTGTCAAAAATAAGTTACAATTTTACTCTGTGATAAATTTTAAAAAAAGAAAAAGCAGTTATAAGACATTTGATTGAATGAAGGCATAGCAACACTAAGTCACTGACATCACCGAACCCCCAACAGAACAGAGTTCTGTAGCATTCATATAAGATAACTAGGACTGTCATTAGAGATGCTTGATATAAAAATCGCCACTTTTCCTTTGAATTCACTCTTCAGACAAAAGGCAGAAGTGTTTAAGACTACAAGTATCATAGAGGAATTGAAATAAATGAAGCATGATTCAACTACAGGGAACTGATCAGACAGAAGAACAGCACATGGGCTGGCAGATTCTTCTTATAGAAAAATGAAATGAAAATACTTTAATATTAATAAGTCTCTACCGTGCCTTACCTTGCAAACTATTTCTATACCACATGAATTGTCTCCATGGCTCTGTACTCCAATTTTTTCAACCCTACTTATAACTCCAAGGGGAACATCAACAACAAAAGGTGGATCCTGAAATTTGTATATAAAACAAATAGATTTTATTACATTAGAGGAAATACAAATTAATATTATTCATGTATGTTTCATTATACCAAACAGCAATTCTTGTTTAGTAAACTGCTGTGAAACATCACATTTCAATGCATATGTCACTTTCTGAAGTCTACTTCAGCAACATTCCTACCTGAAACAACAGGCAGACAGACAGTGAAGTCTTACCCGCTCAACACTTTTGATAAACATTCTGAAGTCCGTCACTGTGAGCGTACCACTGACTGCTCCCATATATGGACAGATATACATAACATCCTTAGCTGGAAAACAGAACAATTAAAGCTTTGTTTTACTATTACAGACATTTGTTGGACAGCAATTTATTCTGACTTGAAACTCAGAACATTTTGGCAGCTCCATACGATTTTGATGCTTGAGCTCTTTAGGAAAGTCTATTCTTGCAGAGTTGTCTCTATCTCAGCAAGGAAAGCAATCAAATTCCTCAGCCCCACTGCTGCTCAGCAGCTCCTGAGCACTTGGGGCGGGGCTGCAGCAAGGGCAGGCAGGTCCCCAGCATCTGCAGGTACCCCCAGGTGCAGGCAGCTCTGCTCCCTGCCCTGAGGTGCAGAGCACCCACACTCACCCCAAAGTGGCAATTACTGACCCACAGGCACCTAAGTAATTCAGTTCTATGCCCATATCTTTGTTCTCACCTTTATTCACTAGTATTCTTTCTTAGCCAAGTCCTACACTGCTAGCACAGAGCTTGCTGTCACATGCCAGAGTGAAATAAATCCCACTAAGTACTGAAAGCTAAGTTTACCATAACTTCATCTTTTTTTTCTGTAGGAATTTTGACTCTATGACCTATTCTTGGCACCCCCAAGCAGAAATACACAACATACACCTCTGTGGAACAAAAAATCCGCAGGAAAAGAAATATTATCTACATGGAGCAAGTCATCCTCTGGATCTGATTTCTCCTGCCTACACTTGGATTTACAAGACAAAGAAAAGAAATCCACATCTAATCTTAAGTGGCATTAAATTAAAAAACAAAAGGTCATAAGGAAGTAATATTCTGTTTTTAAATAAAGCAGCAATTTAATAGTATTCAGTGCAGCACTCAGTGGTACACTTACCAATAACTTTGATTGATTCTCCAGGAAAAAGTGGAGCCTCTTCCATCTGTGCCAGCTTGTTTCCATCCCGCAGTGCCTGGCAAAAATCCAAAATCATGAGTAAATCTCACTGTCCATCTGTACCACATCGACATATTTTGATGCAAAGTGCTTTTACTACCAGATTACTGGAACACAAGAAGTGTGTCTTTTTTAAAATCACACAACTGTACTAAACAGTACCACAGTAAAAGAAAAAAACAAAAAAACCAACCAAACACAAAACTAAGTATTACAAATTTAACACAGACATACACGTTAGTAACATTAGTAAGAAGCATTCATGCAACAATTAGTTTCACATGCTAGCTATATATAGCATACAAAAATATGAACAATAAGATCAGCCCAAATTATTAATGAATAATTTGTTAAGAGTTTTGCTGAATGCAGGTATTATTTGGAGTATTTTATCTATTTGAGAACATTTTAAAGCTCTTTTGTTTGCATTCTTTTTAATTCTAACACTGCTTATTTAATATTTGAGTAATTTAATGTGAGAGAATTATATGGCAGAAACTTTATGTATTTAACATTTTAATTTTGTGATTTTGATAGCACCCCACAATGCTCTGCTTCAATTAATACCTTACTAAGAGTGCCACAGGTTATGGAATAGGTTCACTATAGGAATTTTGGATCTAGATGGTCAGATTAAGAATGAATAACAAAATATAGAAGAACAATTAGCAATTCTAAAATAGTAGTAAGTTTAATAAAATTTCATTGAGGTAAATGGCTTCATTGCTGAATGATAACACGATGGATTCTTAAGGTCCTTTGTTGGCAGCTAAGATTTACAATGTATTGAAGACTGTAATAAAGCATAAAACAGTTTATGGGACTGTGAAGGACCATGTAAGAAAGTGATCTGTCTCAGGTCAAAATGATGAGATATTAGGGTCTCAATTTTTTACATCCTGAATAAATATCATGGGGTAACTTGTTATAACAAACAACTAATCCTCCCCTTCTATTGCAGCTCTGACCCACACAGGAATAATAGGCAGGACCTCTCTGCTTCCACACAGACTATCCCAAGCTCTCACTAATAAATAATTTCTAAAAATATTTCAGCTGATCTCTGGCTTCAGATTTCCTTGGAAAATTTTGGAATTTTACATTCAGCACCCAATTACAAAAAATAATGTGCAGAGAAATGGCCAGTGCTTACAAACTGAGGGTGGATGTGCTCAGTTAGATGGGGCTTATGTTCAGTATTATATTTTAGACTACATGACCTTACAAGAAAACTCTGCCTGGCACATAGCCAGTTACACACTAAATGCTTTCTAGGGCTTTTCTTGAGAGAGAAAAGTAAGATTTGTATGCACTGTATGAGTACTATAGTACCTTTATAGTACCTTGCTACATAGTTAATGAATGAAAGAGGAGTAAAACTTGCCACCTGATCAGGTTCTGCTTCAGAATGATAGCCATTGTGTCCATCCTGAATCTCCTGCTTTGCATGAGGCAGCAGTAGGGCAAGAGAGAAGTAACAGCAAAAAAATTGCAGACAACAGGTGAAAGGACAGAATCTTATCTTTTTTTTGTTTCCCTTTTTAAAATTTCCTTTAAAAGACAGCATATACTTTAACTCCAGTTTAGCTTTCCAAAATCTTCCACTCCTGGCACAAACTACTTTCCACAGAAGGGAATCCAAGTTATTAGCACCATCCTTTGAATGTTACTTGGCACAACACAAAATGAAAAATTTACTCCCTTTTTCACAAAAGAGTCAGTGCTGGTAGATAAGAACATAAAAGTATGTACTGTCTTTTTAAGACAAATAACCTTACAATGAAGAAAATTAATTTCAGTATGCCACATGCTTATCAATAGAAGAAATTGAGTACAACTTGCAATGGCAGCATTATGGAAAACTCATGCAATCTTTCACAGAAAAAAATAGGTCGACATCAAATAGAAGTACCTAGACACTTAAAAAAGCTTTGCTGTGTAAAACATGTTGTAATTGAACTCTCAATCTTACAGTTTTACATATCTTTTTAGCAACTTCTATGTTGTTGTTTGAAATTTGGCCAGTAACTTTACAGAATCTAAAATTATTATTCATAGCAAAATATGCAAACAATTCACATTTTCATGGTAATTTATTTTTGCATCATTGGCAGCAAATCCTGAACATTAGTTCAATTTCTTTAATAAACATAAGGTCCTTTTGTACACCAGAGAGAAGCACAAATGTCATCGGGTCAGCTGAAGGAATTATTTTAACATGTTCAGCCAAAAATGTTCTTCCGTCTTCTTTCTTTAACAACTGGAGAGAAGCTGTGCTCATGACAGTCTATAACTCCCAGTTCAAATGCAAAGAACTTCTCCCTTGGTCAGACTGTAAAACCAGCTTCAGTCCAAATTTACAAGTGTTTCTTAGAGGTCAATTTTTACAGTATTTCTACAGAACCCTCAAGAAACAGCTTAGAAGGAAAACTTCAGATATCTTCAGATAATTTGAACTCTACGTGAGTTAAAAAAGTTGTAAGTAATTAAAAAAACTTTTCAAGTTATAAAGTTATGTCACTAACATTTAGGTATCGGTAGAATTCTGTCATCTAGAAATTACTTAAATTTCAGGTCATAATTATGTTGTTTCTGAAACTGAAGAAAAGTAGACATTGTGTTCTCTGGAAGAAAACCAGCAGGACAATGAGCGAATACACAAAAAAAATTTAAATATATGAAAGACAAAAGCAGCAGAGCAGACCGTTTAAATATCAAAGCCTTTACATAGAAGTGGGAACAACTGAACAAAACCAGTTTTTGTTACTCAGAGTAATTATTTGAAGTGCTATCTATTCAAAAGAAAAACTAAGATCAATTTGTGGATTTGTATGATTGGAGTAAACACATCATTTTAAAATAGGTAAACAAGAGATGAGAAAAAGAAACCATTCAGACTTCATCTCTTGGTTTCAGACTGAACAAGAGGTCATTGTTGGAATAGAAGTGTTGGACGCATTTCATGAACAATGTCAGAACACTGTCCAGATCATTTCTCACTCCATAAATGTTACTGAGAGAGGGGCAAGAAAACAAAGCATGCCCTTTTTAATCTTCAATGAACAATGGGCAAGTCCTAGACTCAAAATTATCATTAAAAAGATGTATGTCATTGCACTAGTGCCTAACTTCAAACCCAACTTTCAATCCTATCACTGCTTGGTAAAAACTAATTTAAAACAAGTACAAAGGCAAGCATGAATTTGGAACTTACTTAAATAGGACAGACACAGACATAATGCTTTTATCACTGGTATTCTTTAGCACAGACATGTTAGAGCTGCTAACACAGTACTCTGCAGTCTGAAGCATGTAAACCTGAATTGCAAGCATCCATTTTGTCAAAATTAATGTAACAAAACTGAAGTTAGTATTGCACATTCATAACATAATTTTAAAATATTGCTCTCTTACATACTGACTTTCATTGCTCATGAAAACATTGTAATGTATATAAAGCACTTTTGTGGCAAAGAAGCTGTTGCACTGCATAGCAAAATGGCCTGACTGGTTCATAAAACCCACTAATGAGGTAAAGAACGCTTGACACACCAAGATCTCACACAGCACAAGAGACACACAGGTAGGAGGCTGTTCACTGCTAGCCAAAGGTAATCTTACCCGTATAACTGGCCTCCTGTACACCTGTTAGTTAAAATATAAAATAGTATCCAATGAAACACATAGATTTGATTTGTTAAAGATACTACATCTTATTTCACCAGATTTTCAAAAGAATTCGACTCCCAAACGTTTTAATTATAGATGGATTTTGAAAGAACAAAGCAAAACTATGCAGAACTAGTAACTCTCATTTGCAGAATTGTTTTGGTCTTAAAAAAAATCTCAGCCACTTAATTTTAGTGATGCAACAAATTCCAAGCTCTTTGAAAACGTTCATTCCTAATCACCCTTTTATCCTGCTACACTGTGCTATTGTTAAAAGAGAAGAAAGAGCCTGGTAATCCTTCTAGGTGGAAGACAATAAGCCTGCACTAACAACCGTGAAGGAGAGGCACCCGACCTTTCAGAAAAAGACAACTCTTCTCAACTTCTGAAGGTGTTTGTTGTTAGCAATCTGAGCCATTTTCATTTATATGAGCCCCTCATTCAAGAACACTCCGCAGGCAGAGCATGTGTCAGGAAAGACACACAGAGCAGAGCTCAGCTCAGACTGAGATCACTGTTCCTGTAGGGCTTAGCAAGCAAGAGCTCCCCCAGTGCTCTCCAGCTCTGACCATTCCATTGGCTGCCCCTTTGCTTCCCTCCTCCCTGGTAAGGTAAATCACATAAGAGTAACATGAAGTAATGCTGTTAGATACAAGAATCAATATGTTTACCTGGTTTTCCAAGCATATTAATTTAAACAATAAAAAAGAGAGAATAAAGCAACGAGTTCCTGGTAAATCCAGCACAAACTAACAGAACTGCCTGACCAGCTCCAGAAGAAAACAAACCCATCTGCCCCGATCAGAATACTCTGAGTTGTAAATCTCTAAATGCAGCAATTCGAGGTAACCAAAGGTAATGAAGACCCAGGAAAGAACATCAAAAGAGAAAGATGTCTCAAAGGAAAACTGAGATATCATATGGGCATTGTCTTTTCATGTGTGGATTCCAGAGTAATAATGAATGAACACAACCTGTTAGTGGTACCAAGTAAGCAACTATAAAAAAATTCCATGTTATATACAAATATGGGATTTCAAATCACAGCAATGAGATGATGCCAAATACAATTTATCCACAAAAATTCTTAATTTAAACCATCAGGCTTAAATCCTTTTCTTTCATTTCTCAGAGATAGAGAATGAAGTAGAATTTTAATTAGGCCTTAAAAGATTTATTCCTGTTAAATAATACCTGAGATGAGTTTGGTATAGAGATGGAAGTTATTCAAAATTGAATAGTGCTCTTCATTCCAGAGGAATGAATTTTACTCAGAGATACACTGAACACCAAGCTTATACACATGGGTTTTACTAAAATGAAACCCTTGGCAAATACATCATCAAAAGATGAAATATAAGGTTTCCCACAGTGTTTTACCAAAAATGATGGCCTTGACCTGGAGCAAGGATTTGCAATTCAGCTGCTGTAGTATGGGAGATCTACTCTTTACAAACTGCTGACTGTGCCAACAGTGTGAAACTCTGCTGAGGTTGAACTTTGAAACACACTACAGCCAAAAACCTTTTTTTGGACTCATCTCAGACTCAGGCTGAATCTTACCTGCTGCCACTCAATCTAAAATATGCTGTTTCCAGACAACATACTTTGTAATCACCGAGTATATGTGAATTAAAATCTAGTTAAAAAAAAAAAACAAAAAAAAAAGAGATAAAAACCTTCCTGTGGTCACTCTCTATGAAGACAATAAAACTGTTACATATCTAGGAAGAAAAAGGGATCTAGACAGCAGCAAGCTGGGCTTCTTAAAGGGAATTGAAACATGGGTAACTTTTGTCACATTGTGAGAGGAGAAAAACTGCCCATGGTCCATTCTTGACAGCTGAGCTGAGTGGCTGCATGAAGGGAACAGGCAGTCAAGTGTGAAAGAACAGGGGCACAAAAGCACAGTGGAACTCAGAGAAACCATACTGTGCAGTCATTACCTTAGTGACAAAAATGTTGCTGGAAGGGAATGAAAAAGGTGACTTGTTTGTTTGATGTTAAATTCTGTGTCTCTAGAGAAACCCCATAAAAACTAAGACTCAATTATGTTCCCTGCATAGTAACTAGGACATTCATTTATTTTTTTGTGGAATCTGAGGAGTTCAGTTCTGTACTCTGAATAACACACACCAGAAACCATTTCAACCTTTAACTATAATCTACTTTACTAATTATTTTACATAGTAATCAAAAAAAAAAAAAAAAAAGACAACTCACTTATGATGTTTTATTCAAAACATTGACTTTTAAAATTTCCTTTCACTTCTCTCTTAATTTTCATTCTGTAGACTTCAATGGCACTATTATAAATATGGAGGAAAACAAGAAGCAAATTCAAGAGACTCCTATTCATAATGAGATGTTTCTAGTCCTGAAACACTCAGTGATCACTCAAGTACTTACCACTGGCTAATCAAGATAGAAAGGACCTTCCCCATCTTCCACTCTTGTATCTTAAAACATATCACTGCATTCCTCAAGTCACTTACCCTGTAGTCTCTGGACACACTCTCTGATGGGACAGACCCTGAAATCTGACTCGAAATAGTTGCAGCTATCAGCTGTTTACACCATTCCACGTGGGATCCAGTCGGGCTACAAAACCAGAAATTTCAAATTATTTATCAGTAATTCAGAATGTGTATTTTGAACATCACAGATCCAGAAAGTGACACTGTAAATGATCACTAACATCATAAAACTTAGTTTGCCTTGTGGGCAGAATACAACTGTTTTATTGATCAAATTACGTAAAAGAATTTTACTAGATCGTGTCAGAGACACAGAGCTGTCAGGAGGTTAAAAGTGAGGTTAGTGTCCTAAGAACGTAGAACATGTTCTGCTCCTTAACCAGTGTAATTTTTACCATTCACATGCTTTTTTCTTAAGCCATGCATGGAATGAGTTTGGCCAAGTAATAGGAAACTTCTTATACTGTCCTTATGAATATGTCCTCATCATTCAGTAAATCGTCAGAATTGAATTACTTCATGCTAGTATTAAAAAATTTAAACTATGCTAATATTGTATTCTATATTAGATGTTGAAAAGACATGTTTTTTAAAGGGTAACTTCTAGTTAACTGCAGTTTTTTCCAATTTATGAAATAACCCTGGATAATCTTCAGGCTGGGCTTTTACAAACCACAGCACTGAATTGTACAGCACAGAGTGTTTACAAGAACCCCAAAGCATCTGAAACGCACTAAAGCCCAGGCGATGCAATTTCAGAAGAGTCCCCTGAACCAGTGCTGCTCTCAAGTAATGCAGTACTGACAGGGAGAACCAATGACAGTCTTAAGTGTACTAGGTCTGCTTCAACACTCACTGGTATCCAAGGAAAAACTGGGAATGCCAGAGGGAACTGTTCCCTGAGTGTTACTGCAGCCTCAGACACTATCTTAGATAACTGCCACTTTTCTTCAAACCATTCAGCTGTGCTTACCTACAGATTGAATGCTTATTCAGTAGTCAAATACAGAAAGAAATTTTTTTTTTTGTTTTAGTTAATTCATAAACTAGCTTTGGATGCCATGAATGCTCCATGACACTGAAGTGAATATACTTACATATACGCAGCACCCAGCAGGTGCACCACACCTCGGACATTAAGAGAGTGGGTTAACAGCCTTGGATGACCAATTCCTACTGAAAAAGAGGTTTTTCCTTATGTTAACTCTGCCACTATAACTAGGTGTAAGGCACAGATCCAG